AAGAGTTTGGGTGCTGTTTTTATTTCTATTTTTTTTGGGTTGCCAGACCTGGCACACATGTTTATCGCATGATATAAACCACCGACCGACCGACCAACCGTAAACCGTAGACCGTAGAACAATGCCTGCCAGAATTTAAACCGCAAAACCCCGCCTAGCAGCCGTCTAAAACGAAAAATAAAATACCGAAGAAGCGAAACGGGAACAACAAATGCAGAAGAAAGGCATACAAATACAGCGGGGGAAAAAAGTTTGTCTCTATAGGACGGACTGACACCTGTACAAAGCGTCAATAAGTGAGGCCAAGTGGGCTATTAAATGCCAAGTTAATGGGTTGTACAAATTGTTTTTACCAGTCGATGTTGTTATTATTTTCCGCTGTTGTTCATTTCGCTTCGCTTGGAGAGTAGACGCATTAAGTGCATTAAATGCCCGAGCCAATCGTCTAATCGATGTAAGTTATGTCTGTTCAGTTCATTCAGTTTTGTGGCTATCAAGGACTTATGTAAATCCCATCGATAAGCAAGTAAGCGATTATTGTGAGAATATGGCCCAATTATGTTATCGGCCAATGTCAAGTTCAAATGATTGCCATTAGTGCTGTTAGAGGGGGGAAATAAATTGGCTATCGAGTTTTTGTTATCAAATGTAGATATCGATAAGAGTAAATTCTAACCAAAAAGAAGTGAGTTGTTATAAGGAGAGCTTCTGCCAAGTATGTTAATGATGAATGTTAAAATTTTCTGATAACTAAAGGAACAGTTATTGGTATTCAACCAGAGAATGTTATCGATAATATCGATGTGTAAGTGTAAATTCCATATAAAAATTCAATGAATTTGTACTCTTTTACCAATGACCTTGGCTAATTAATGCATTTACGAAACTCAAAAACCAATGTCAGTGAAAATGTATATTCCCTATAAATATGTTATGGCTAAATGTCAACAGCTTGCACTGTACGACATTTTAATGAAAGCACACGAAACGCGTGCCAATATATTTATTGCAATAAATTGAGCAAAAACATTAGCACAAATTACAATTGACACGGCGATGGAGAGCAAGACAAAAACAAAAAAAATCTACATGTACATATGTGTTCATTACGCGGTCAAACTGTGTTTTATTTGCATTAAAATTGAGGTTAATAACTATGGCGCAAATTTATTGCAACTGTCAATGCATATCCATTAAAACGCTTGCGTTCAATTTGATGCGTCAAATGGTCGATTAGAAACCGCGCAACCAGCCGCAGCGGCAGCCGCAAAAACCACTACCCATGTGACGTCGCCCTTTCAACAATTACGGCATTTCGGCATTTGGCCTCGCTCTCGCCCCAAACCTCAACCCCCGCCGCCCCTCCTTAAATTATTAATGCCTTTGCCTCCTATGTCTGAGTGCTAATTTGAAGCCGTTGTTGGTTATCGGTTAAGTCGTCATTGCCAAGCCAAAGCCAAAGTCGAGCCAATTGGATCAACGTCATTCACGTATCCGATATACTCTACGTGGAGATATTTACAATTTGTAATGTCTTTCAGGATGATTATAAAATCAATTACTTAACTCTACTTTTTTTTTTTTTTAAACTGTTTTTGTTTTTATCTATAGAATCGAAATCGGATTTGCTGCTATCCTACGGCAAACTGGTAGTGAAACCATTTTGGGACAATCAAATTAGTTTTTGGACGCACGTTCTCGATTTGTGGCGCCCAACGCTGCACATTATTGCACTCCAGAGAATCGAATAACGAGTGCTTATATAATTACGCCGACATGTGAGCTGAGCTTTATACAAAATGAAGACATGCCCATTTATGCACATTAATGTATGTGTTGGTGTGGTTGTGTGTGTGTGTGTGTGTGTGTGTGTAAGTTTCTGTGTGTACAACGTAACGTAACGTATAGCGCACATAAATTGCACGTTGGGGACGAGCCCCTCTAATATGGGTCGTGCAATGCACATATCTCGTACATATTCTGACAGCCAGAATTAATTCAATAAAATCCGTAACATTTTATGAGCCATTAATTAAGGTATTAAACCGAACAGGACACTGTTGTTTAAGTGGTTTCGAAATTAATTGATTGGAAAACTTTTATACAAATTTTGACAAGAGTTTGGAGTCAATTTAGTTTTACGGAAATTGATTGGTCTCATAAACTTGGAGTTTTAGACACACATTTTATGTTTTGCTGATTTTAAAGAATTTTGAATGTTATTTTTATTCTTGGATTGGTTAAGAAACCTTCACATTAGACTCTGTTTGCTTTTGATAGCAACGAAAATAGCCTCAGAAATAGAGTAATGTTTGCATAATTGCCTTTTAATTACCATATAAAAGCACACATTGTAGAGGCAAATATATAAATATATATATATCTATATAGGCAAGATGTGTAACAGATCGTTACAGTAGTTAGTGGCTAAAGTGGTAACTTAAAGTTAAGATAACTTCGTTTCAATTTTGTAACATAATAGCAGATGATATAATTATAGTTTTTTTTTGTTAAGTTCTAAAGTAATTTTTATAAAAATAAAAGGTTCACGTTTCAGAATGCCTACTGTCTAGCCAATATCGTTGCAAAAGTAGCACAGACTCTGTGGAAGTAAACAAAATGTTGTATTTCATTAGCCTGCTCGACGATGTTTCTGCTATAATTTCAGTTTGTCTGGTAGTTGTATCTTCTCGCGACTTTGTTTTATTTTGTTCTTGGTGGGGAGGGGGGGAGTCCCCTTTTTTGTTGAATGCAAGGAAGGGGGGTGTGCTCCCCACACACGTTCCCACCCAAGGAATGTCGAACATTTTTAGCCCCCCTTCCCCACCCCCTGTATATTGTGGGTGTGTTGATGCGATCGTGTAAACGCAAAAATATGCGCAAAGCAATAAAAACCTAACAATAAGCAAACAAATGGAATATATGCATGAAATTAGCTGTGTAGGCAGTGATAAAATGCTGTTCTCTCCACTTTGCAAACTTGTTTAATAATTAAAAATCAGCACACACACTCAAGTCTCAAGTCTCTCTCTTCGTGCCTGTTTGTGTTTTTTATATCTTGATGTATACATCAAAAAGCATTTATGAATTAGCATAAAAAATACTTTGTGCTTAAAAAATATTTGATTTCCGATTGTTAACATTGCATTTAACAATCTTTAATCTTCAAATATCACTTTCAAAGTTGCAGTCAAGTTAACTGCAAACCATAAAGCTGCTCTGGTAATCAGTTTTCGGTAGTAAGTGTCATCAATTTTCATGGCCTTTCTTGCAGCGAAAAATCATGACATTATGTCGTTAAACTACTTTGTCAGAAGGTAATTGATTTTTGAAAAAAAAAAAGAAGAAGTACTGAAACTTTGTTGGCTATCTTGGATTTTACTATTTGCTTTTTGAAAGTGAAATTTTCATTTTTAAATCTTTGTTTTTCATACACTTTGATACCAAACTTCACTCTTTTTGACTTATACAATCCAATAAGATTTACATAGAATATAAAGGCAGGTTAATTTTTGCGTCATTCCCATCGGCTGTTCAATTTTAATTTGCCTGGTATGGGTATTGTGGTTCCACAGGGCGTATGGTTGATATGTTCAGTCGGCAGGAGGGACGCACGTGTTTTTGGGCCCTATTGTTTTAGCCATTACTGGTGGTTGTTGCTGCTACTATTATTCTGCAGTTGTCTGTCAGTCAGTCAATACGTCACTCGCAGACTGCTAAAAGTTACAGTCTGTGTGTGTGTTTTGCAACCGCTGCGGTGATTGTTAGCGCTATATTTATTCAGACTGCGTTGATTATTTTTCTAATTTATCTGCACATATTTGCATTTGTGCAAAGAATGACAGCCAAGCCAGTCAGTCAGTCAGCCAGCCAGCCAGCTAGCTAGCTACCAAAAGGAAAATGTGTGCAGGTGCCTGTTGGCATTATTGCGAAACACTGCAATTAATCAAAAAGGCCAAAAACGATGCCAAAAACGTCGAAATGTGCGAAACAGGTAACAGGTTGTTGCCAATTCAGAGCACAAATTAACTGTAACTTGACACCAGTCGTGTGACTTTTGTCACTATTAATATTTATTATTCAAAATAATTTAAAAATTCTGTAAACAAAAATAAGTTATTTGTGTTGTTTAGTCACTTATTTTAAGCTTAGGAAATATAAATTCTCTTTCTGATTTATTTTATAACTTCAAATGGCACTTTCCATTATATTTTAAGCTTTTTTTTTTAAGTTATGATTTTCTTTATTAGTCTTACTGTCTTACTCTGCTTGTTTTATTGCGGTTTCCCTTAACCTTTAATAACCTTTAGAATTCGTTATGCCCTTTTTGAATTTGATTTATTACCGCCATTGACATTTCAAATGTTTCTCATAAATTAAAATAAATAATGTGTGTTTTGACATTAGAATTAGAAACATTGTTCGACTTTCAATTGTATTTTTCAGCAGGTAGTTTTTGCATTTCAAATTTTGTATAAATTATATAATTTGTGGCATCTAATTCGGTTCTTGATTTACTGTTGCTGTTGCCATGAAATGATTTTTCGTTCCTCATTTCTGGCTAATAAACTGCTGCAATTGTGGGCAATTGTTTAACTGTAAAATGCCACCCACACACACACACACACACACACGCACACACCTGTAAGACATTTAAGAGTGTGTGAAAAACAGTTGAGGTCAAGTTGATAGAACTTTATAATATTCTAATAAAATAAAAATTATAAAATATAGTGGGCTAAGATTTAAGTTCTTTCTTAGATAGTTTAATTTTTTTTTTTTATCCTTTAGTAAGTTCTTCATGAAACGCACTGTACGAATGCGCCACACAATGTGTCTGATTCATGGGCTCGTGATGAAAGGAAAGGAATAAAAATATATATACTATATATGCTAGATGGGATTTGTGGCTCTTTTATTATTAATACCAGCCAGTGTTTTGTGCGCTAACATGAATATAAATACAAATGCTAACGTGTCTTTACCATTTTTCATTGCAGAGCCCAAGGAATAACAAGCTAGCGAGAGAGGGGAATTCCAGTAACAAAAACTAACAAAGACCAAGGAGCAAACAACACCAGGTGGTGGAACAGAAGCTGGCGCATCTGGGGCAGTGACACGTGATCTCAGGTGGGAAGAGCCAGCCAGCCAGCTAACAGCTAAACCGAAGTCAGCAGAGTTGAGGACGCAGGCGGGGCAGTCGGAGGAACGGGCAACCATGTCTTCGCCGGCGGCGCAGAGCAACAGCAGCAGCAGCCAGTCGCAGTCCGCAGCCCAGCAGCAGCAGCAGCAGCAGAATCAAAAGGCTAATGTCAATAACACACACGACAACAAGAATGCTACGGCGACGACGGGGACAGCGGCCGGTGGAGCTGGTGCAGCTGGGGCGGTGGGCACACAACAGCAGGGCCAGGGCGGTACCTCAGGAACTGGTACCTCGAGCGGACCATCGAGCCCCACAAAGCGCAGCACAATATCGACAAAGGAGCGTGTGATCGACAGTGTGCCATTTCCACCAAGTCGCAAACTCACCTGCGCAGATGTATTTGATGCGCGGACCGGAAAGCCGCAGCACGATATCCTCAAGCAGCACTTCATCCTGGAGGGTAGGATCGAGGAGAGCGCCGCCCTGCGCATCATACAGGAGGGTGCCACGCTATTGCGCACGGAAAAGACGATGATTGACATTGAGGCGCCGGTGACGGTGTGCGGTGATATCCATGGCCAGTTCTACGACCTGATGAAGCTATTCGAAATCGGCGGCTCGCCGGCGACCACCAAGTATCTGTTCCTTGGCGACTACGTCGATCGGGGCTACTTCAGCATCGAGTGTGTCCTGTATTTGTGGTCACTGAAGATCACCTATCCGCAGACGCTGTTCCTGCTGCGCGGCAACCACGAGTGCCGGCATCTGACCGAGTACTTCACCTTCAAGCAGGAGTGCAAGATTAAGTACTCGGAACGTGTGTACGACGCCTGCATGGACGCATTTGACTGCCTGCCGCTGGCGGCACTTATGAACCAGCAGTTCCTCTGCGTGCACGGCGGACTGTCGCCCGAGATACATGAACTGGAGGACATCCGGCGGCTCGATCGTTTTAAGGAGCCGCCTGCCTTTGGCCCTATGTGTGACCTGCTGTGGTCCGATCCGCTGGAGGACTTTGGCAATGAGAAGAACTCTGACTTCTATACGCACAACTCCGTGCGCGGCTGCTCGTACTTCTACAGCTATGCCGCCTGCTGCGACTTCCTGCAGAACAACAACCTGCTGTCGATCATCCGGGCGCACGAGGCGCAGGACGCCGGCTACCGTATGTACCGCAAGAGCCAGACTACCGGTTTCCCATCGCTGATCACCATCTTCTCGGCGCCCAACTATCTTGACGTGTACAACAACAAGGCAGCGGTGCTGAAATACGAGAACAACGTGATGAACATCCGGCAGTTCAACTGCTCGCCGCATCCGTACTGGCTGCCAAACTTCATGGACGTGTTCACCTGGTCGCTGCCCTTCGTTGGCGAGAAGGTCACCGAGATGCTGGTCAACGTGCTGAACATCTGCTCCGATGATGAGCTCATGACCGAGGAAAGCGAGGAGCCACTCTCGGACGACGAGGCGGCGTTGCGCAAGGAGGTGATCCGCAATAAGATCCGTGCCATCGGCAAGATGGCGCGTGTCTTCTCTGTGCTGCGCGAGGAGTCCGAGTCGGTGCTGCAGCTGAAGGGCCTGACGCCCACGGGCGCCCTGCCCCTCGGCGCCCTATCCGGCGGCAAGCAGTCGCTCAAGAATGCCATGCAGGGCTTCTCGCCCAACCACAAGATTACCTCGTTCGCGGAGGCCAAGGGCCTGGATGCCGTCAACGAACGTATGCCGCCGCGCCGAGACGCAACGCCATCGCCGGCGGAGGAGGGCCAGAAATCACTGTCAGCCGCGGCAGCAGCAGCGGCCAATGCAAATGCGAATTCAATCAATGGATAATTCTAAGTCAGTTAGCACCAAGCTACAGCTACAGCTAAATAACAGTCAAGTTAGTCAGTCGGATCGATGGATCGATGGGTCAATGGATCCAGGGGATCGGAGGATCAAAGGATTGGAGGAGAAGGAGCAGCAAAGTCAGTTAGTAGTCGACAGTTAAGCAGCGAACGGTGGGAGGGAGTCAGCAAAACAGTTCGGAACATAAGAATAGTCTCAAGTTTGGCTCAAAAGGAGGAGATTGATAACTGGGCATTACAGATATACAAAACACACAGCTAAATGAAAGATCATAATATATATAGAAGGCGGAATTGGTCAAGGATAGTAAGGATCAAAGAGCAGAGACACCACAACAACAACAACAAAAACCACACACACACATATATACACACACAGCAAGTGTTAACGAGTACTTATTGGTATTAAATGCAAAAGGAAAAACCAAAAACAATTGACAGTAACAATGCGAAAAACAAGAACATCCCTCGTAAATGGAAGATAATTATAAAAGTTGAAAGATTATAGAATTATATATATAAACAAATATATATATATATATATATCAAAATTTTGTGCAACGTTATATCAAAAGAGCAAATGTAAAAGCTAAGCAAAAGTTGAAAGAAGTCCAGCTTTTGGCAAGCAGTTGACAAGAAGAAGCAGTAGAGTTGCAGATGCAGTTGCAAGTTGCGCGCATTCCCCCAATTCAAAAAAAAAATTATATATATATATATATACATATATATATATATATATGTATGACAAAATGGAAAACCAAACTTAAACTTAATACAAGCAAATTAGATAATTTCAATTATTTGCTAACAAATTGTAAAACGAATCGAAAACCAACTCTCATCTCTGTAAAGTCAAACCAAAAAACAAAACAAATTGAGTGACAAATGCGAAAGAGAACTAATTCTAGCATCTAAAAAACTGAAACTTTCGAAACTACTTTCGTTGTGTGGCGTCTGCGGCGACTTCTTCTCAAAAACTAAAAACTAAAAACTAAAGAAAAAGGCAAACAAAAAAACCAAACAAAGCAAAGAATAAATTTAAATAATTAAATGAAAAGAAACAACTTCCTACAACAAAAACAACAACAACAACAACAGTAACAGCAACAATATTTTACTACAATATTTTAATACAAGAACAAGAAACGACTGAATCTCTCTCTCTATCTATCTAACTATCCGACTCTTTCTCTCTCGCACACACAACATCAACGTACATACACAAACACACACACACACACATACACCAAACAAGCGGGGCGTTGATCCAACTCAAAGTTGATCATCACCTCGCCAATCGTTTATCGGTAATTGTTTATCGTCGCCATTGTCGCCTCACACTCTCTCATCTGGTGATTGTGTATGTGGTCTTTATATACGTGCCATCTTTGTCGTAGTCATTAGCTGAATATATAATTAATACATTTGCATGGGCATCGATGCAGCGATGCAGGCGCCAGTGTTGTGCCTACCCGCCCCAAAACCAACTCCAAGCCTGCCACCAAATCGAAATAATCGAATCTCAAAACGTGTCGATAGGCTAACCAATCTACAATCTAACCAACAACTCCCTTTCAATCTCCTTTCAATTTCCCTCCGACATTTGCGCCTGCGTCGTTCACAGTCGTCTGCGTGTGCAAATCCTTTTTATACTTAATGGAATTTTAGTTACTTTAAAAAAAAAAACAAAACAAAAAAAACGTCAAAGAAAAAGACGATTAGACGATGTAGAGGATGACGGGGGATATGAAAAAAGTGAACAGAACAGTAAAGAGCAGAGCAGAAAATATATAAAGCGACGCCTAACTAAGAAAGATGATGTAATTAACGTGTGCAATGGGAATTTTGTTATTTCTGAATTTTTTTTTTTATAAATATTTCTTGTTATCTTTTTTATAATTTGTATTTATTGTAAACTATTTATATATATATATATATATATATATATATATATATACAATCAGCAAAAACACACATAATATATAAATACATAAATATATATATATATTTATAAACTAAATTGTTGTTTCTACTTCATTATTGTTTACTACAACACCTTTTTCTATAAGCGTTAAGTAATTTAATTAAATGAATTTAAATAAAATGAAAAATTAAACAAAACAAAAAAACCGCCTGCAGCCAAAAACAATGGGCAAATGGCAAAACGTTTTCTTAAACAAAAATAATTATATTCTACAATAAGACGTAAGGGAAAAATCATTAACAAACAAACAAAACAAAAAACCGAACTATGTGAATTAACTATTAAGTTTAAATTATACAACAACAAGATGAAAATTAAACCAAATAACGACGTTTACAACCATTAACAAAACTAAAAAAATATGTTGAAACCAAAAAAAAAAAAAAAACAAACAAACAATTGTGCAGCATGCAAAAAACACAACAAAAAAAAGAACTAAAAACAAACAATTTTTCAAATTCGAGAAGACAACAAACAGACCCAATTTAAAGTTTAATGAAAAATGTAATACAAAATGCAAACTTATAGCAATTTGAAGTACTTTATAAACAAATATACATACATACGCCTAAGAGAACGTATATACACGCATATATATATATATAAATATATATATATATATATATATATATATTTGAAATAGTTAAGGGTCGAAGTTGATTATACGCACGGCTTGTATGCAAATAAAAAAAATCAAACTTTTTTGATTTTCCAATTTGCAAATAAGATTTTAATCCGTAATAGCTTTTGTGACTTACTAGTTTGCAAATAAGGGAAGTAACTAGAATTAATCGGACAACAATTGGTTATCGATACATTTTTGTTATTATTGGCCAATAAGTCGTGCGTATAGGACAAGTATGTGACGAAAAGAGAAGAGGAGATAAAGAGCGAGCGGCAGCTAACCGAAACTGTTAAAAATCCAAAACAGATAACAGCAAATGCAAAATGTTGCAACGGTGCAACAGCAATCAGAAAGGACAGTTAAAAGTCGATGACAAATTCAAATTAAGTTTGATAGGCACCCATAAATACACATACACACACACACACACACACACGCAGCATTGCTTTATGCGAGCGAGGGGGATGGAAAGCATGCTTGGCAAGCACACTCAAAAAGCATGCTTGGCTCCGTTTTCTTGCCAATTTTCCACTTTTCGCTTCTTCCTCGCGTGTTTTTTGCCTTTGCGCGGGTGCCCATGCGCAGCAGCAGCAGCAGCTACGTCATCAAGCAATTAATGGTTACAGATGATTTACATTTATATATATTTACATATATATATATATATATATCCATATACAATATAAACCGATCTAAAGTTAAGCGTTTCACACACACACACACACACACACTCATACACAGACAAAACAACAATTTACAAGACGTTTATGCATTTCGATTCAATGAAAAAACCAAGAATACGAATAATACAAATATTATAAACAATAATTACAGCCAATAAAGGATTACAGCAAAGCAAGCTCTTACTATTATTTTTAAAGTAAATGAGAACATTTTTAACTAAATTACCGCAACCCATATACATATGTATAGCATATAACTGAATACTTTTCTCCTCCAACGTTCCCACAATACAAAAAAGAAAAACCAAAAAAAAAAAAAAAATGAAAACTTACAAATTAGCGCGCTCTTCTAAAATAAAAGATAAAGCAAATGCAAAAACCAAAGTAAATTTAATTAATATACACATATATGAGAAGAAATCCAAAAGAAACCAAAAATATATAACATATTACGAGTAAGCCAATAATATATAAAAAAAAAAAAACAAATACTTTTATACTATATACACGAAGCCTAAGAACTTAACAGAAGCGAAACAAAATTATAGTTATGACTCCCCCTCTCGCTCTACCCACTCCATTCTTCTGTCGTCCTGCTCTTTGCGCTCTTCTATCCTTTTCTATCTCTGATTATGTGTTTCCCTCGCACTCTAAAACTTCCGACATCAACTTCGACCTTGACCCTTTATCTTCTATCTCTCTCTATGTCTTTTTCTCTCTCTCTGTCTTTTCGGTGACCTAAGAACCCAGCAAGAATGCGAAACCAAACCAAAACCAAATGGGAATAAAACAACACTTTTTAACGGTACATTTTCTACTACACCATATATATAAATATGAAATACAAGAGAAGCGAATATAAAGCAAAAACAAAATTACCAATTACAGCTAACAACAAAATAAAATCAATTTCAAAACCAAAACGAATCGGGTAGGTTATGAATTTTACTTCCGGTAGAACTTAACAGTTATTAATGTATACAGTAAATAGCTAGAAGTTTGTTGGCACTTCAAAATCTGCTTAAATGTATGCTATAAAAAATAGATGCAGCTCATCTGAAGGATCTATGAACTTCATCTTTTTTTATAGCATACATTTGTGCAAATTTTTCAAAGTGATTTGAATGCTAAGTAAATGGTATTCAATAAGTAATTTACTGGAATTTCTATCGAAAGTTGAACTCAGAAAAGACCCGATTACAATGAATTCCACTTTCAGTTTGATATCGAAAGAAAATGAACGCATATTGAACATGTTTTGAGTTCATTTTTCTACTGTTAGTTTGTCGATTAGCTTGAACTACTATGTACAATCAAATACTTAAGTCGATTTTAAGTAAGCCATTTTGTTAACCAATTGTTTGTTTTATATATATAGATATATATAAACGTATATACACTTTTAAATTTAACGAAAATAAAAAGAAAATGGGAAGATTTCTTGTTTTTCGTTTCCACTCATCTCCATTGCAATGCAAATGAAAACCTTTTCATCATATGTATATGTATGTATGTAATTATATACGTTACCTTAATTTTTTTGATACATGTATTTTTCAACATCTACTTCCTGCCCTCGAATGCTTTAAAACTTTACACGAAAAAAAAGAAAAAACAATTTAATATATATTATAAACAAAAAACCAAAAAAACAAAAAATTGAAAGGACAAAGAAAAACAAAAAAACAAGAAAAACCAAAATGATGAAAAAAAAAAACCAAAAAAGAATTAAAACTTTACCTTTTGGATAAATCAATTTAAATGCATATTTTATATATATTTAAACATTTATTTATATATAACATGTATGATAAATATAAGTTGGAAAAACTTTGTCAAGCAAAAAGTTTATATACTTATATTAAAAACAAAAAACAAATGAAAGAAAGAAAGCAAAAAAACAAAAAAAACAAACAAAAAACAAAATAAATAATATTAAAAATGCAACATAACAAATTAACAAACAAGAAAAAACATCACATCTAGATAAATCTCTTAAAAATTTTCAATTTTATTATTAAACCGAAACAAAAGTTAATGGATAAACAAATTTATAAACTGTATTGCAACGGGCAGCTGGCTGGCAAAAATTACATAATAATTGCGCCGTTGTGACAACAAATTGTATGCAATCCACAAGGAATAACAAATTAATTTACAACATAAAGTTAATGGAGGATGTAGACGATGGAGAATAAATGATGAAGGCAACAACAAAATGCAGACAACAAGTTTTAACCTTAAGTGAATGCAAAACAAAATGAATGAAAAACCAAACAAAACAAAATGATTATCAATGTTATTAACATAATTAATATTAACAAAAAGGAAAAAACAAGCAAAAAACAAAAACAAATACAAAAAAATTAAAAAAATATACAAGTACCTATCCTGAGAATAAAATGCGCGCACATTTATTATTTCCTCTAAAAATTCGTTTAAGTCCATTTCGCCACCTGGGGATTTACTATCCAAAATTCAATGGGACATTCTTCTGATAGATCAAAAATTGGTGGAGTGGATTATCTCCAGGACCTTGCCAGTTATAGTTTGGATGAATTGATTATCCGTAAATGGATAACCGTTACTTTTTTTTTAAACTAAAAAAACATGGCTCTGGGCATATAGCAGAGTTTCACACCTTGTGGTATATTTTTTTATCATAATTTTTGAATAGCAAAAATGAAAGGTAACAATATATATAACTATATAATTTAGATAACTATAAATTATAAAGAATATAAATGACTTGTGTATCCAGAATATATACTTTTGCATGTATTCTTTTAGACAAGTTCCAAATCATTCCAGGTTCAAGTCCCAACTATAATATATTCCATGCACCCTGCAGTGTATTTGAGCTTTTGGGCTACGGTCACATTGCTGAAAATTCCATTAAAACGAAAAAAAAAGTAGCGAAAGAGAGAAATTACGACGTCTGCAGGCCCGTAGCGAAAAAAAAACCAGCAAATACTGAGACAGAGTGACTATGATTGTTGTTAAGTGAAAGCAGCATTTTGGTAAACGGCTAGGCCAGCGGCAGAGGGTAGGGAAAGCAGTGGAGTTAGCGTTCAAAAATCAAAGCCAGCGGAAAGGAAAGCGAATCAAAGCTGGAAGGCGATAAAGCGGCTCACCAGGCACTCCAACAACAACAACACAGCAGCAGCAGCCAGGGAAAGTGCAAGTGTGTGCGTTCGTGTGAGTGAGCGAGTGAGTAAGTGTGTGGGCAGTGGAAACTGAACTGAGCCGAGAGAGAGCGACCGAGCGAAAGGGAGAGCAAGTGAAGAACCATAGTGGAAGTGGGAGCGGGAGAGGAGCACTCCGATTCCGAATCCCGTAATAGAAACCCAGAAACAGAAGCCCAGAACATGTCTTCGAATAACCAGAGCAGCAGCACCGTTGGCCAGGCGGCAACAAGTGCCCGTACCGCCAGTTCCAGCGCCGCAGCAGATGCCACAGATGCCAATAGTACCGCCTCAAACAACAATAATAATAACAATAGCAGCAGTACCGCTGCAGCGGGCAATAACAGCGACAACAGCGGCAGTCCCACCACTGGAACGGGCACTGGAAAGCTGCACGGTGGCCACACGGCGGTAAACACCAAGGAACGGGTGGTGGATAGCGTTCCCTTCCCGCCCAGCCACAAGCTGACCTTGGCTGAGGTGTTCGACCAGCGAACCGGTAAGCCAAACCATGAGCTGCTTAAGCAGCATTTCATTCTGGAGGGCCGGATCGAGGAGGCGCCCGCTTTGAAAATCATCCAGGACGGTGCCGCACTGTTAAGGCAGGAGAAGACAATGATCGATATCGAGGCGCCGGTAACGGTATGCGGTGATATCCATGGGCAGTTTTATGACTTGATGAAGCTGTTTGAAGTGGGCGGATCGCCAGCCAGCACCAAGTATCTGTTCCTCGGCGACTACGTCGATCGGGGCTACTTCAGCATCGAGTGTGTCCTGTATTTGTGGTCACTGAAGATCACCTATCCGCAGACGCTGTTCCTGCTGCGCGGCAACCACGAGTGCCGGCATCTGACCGAGTACTTCACCTTCAAGCAGGAGTGCAAGATCAAGTACTCGGAACGTGTCTACGACGCCTGCATGGACGCATTTGACTGCCTGCCGCTGGCGGCACTCATGAACCAGCAGTTCCTCTGCGTGCACGGCGGACTGTCGCCCGAAATACATGAACTGGAGGACATCCGGAAGCTCGATCGCTTCAAAGAGCCACCAGCCTTTGGCCCTATGTGTGACCTTCTGTGGTCCGATCCCTTGGAGGACTTTGGCAATGAGAAGAACTCCGACTTCTATACGCACAACTCCGTGCGCGGCTGCTCGTACTTCTACAGCTATGCCGCCTGCTGCGACTTCCTGCAGAGCAACAACCTGCTTTCGATCATCCGGGCGCACGAGGCGCAGGACGCCGGCTACCGTATGTACCGCAAGAGCCAGACTACCGGTTTCCCATCGCTGATCACCATCTTCTCGGCGCCCAACTATCTTGACGTGTACAACAACAAGGCAGCGGTGCTGAAATACGAGAACAACGTGATGAACATCCGGCAGTTCAACTGCTCGCCGCATCCGTACTGGCTGCCAAACTTCATGGACGTGTTCACCTGGTCGCTGCCCTTCGTTGGCGAGAAGGTCACCGAGATGCTGGTCAACGTGCTGAACATCTGCTCCGATGATGAGCTCATGACCGAGGAAAGCGAGGAGCCACTCTCGGACGACGAGGCGGCGTTGCGCAAGGAGGTGATCCGCAATAAGATCCGTGCCATCGGCAAGATGGCGCGTGTCTTCTCTGTGCTGCGCGAGGAGTCCGAGTCGGTGCTGCAGCTGAAGGGCCTGACGCCCACGGGCGCCCTGCCCCTCGGCGCCCTATCCGGCGGCAAGCAGTCGCTCAAGAATGCCATGCAGGGCTTCTCGCCCAACCACAAGATTACCTCGTTTGCGGAGGCCAAGGGCCTGGATGCTGTCAACGAACGGATGCCGCCGCGACGGGACCAGCCGCCAACGCCCAGCGAGGATCCACATCATCAGTCGGGGCAGCATAGTCAACAAGGCAACAATGGGGCAGGGCATGGGTAAGCTGGTGCCATTTTATGCGGCTGCAGAAAACGCAGGATGCAGATGCGGCGCGGAGGCGTCTGGCGAGTAGATGGTCTGTAGGAAGGGGCTGAGTGGAGAGGAGCGGAGGCAACACAAAGAACACCAACCGAACGGAACCTTAATTAAGCTTAATGTGGCAGAGCAACAACTTAAATACTAAAACTAATTCTAATTCTAAGTAATTGTCATAACCCCCCATGCATTTCGTAAGTGATCCCGCGACAGCTCCATGCCCTAGATCCTATGCCCATGGCCCAGAGAGCCTCCAAACCGATTGGCATGTAGCAGAGATTTGTTTTTACGCAGGCGCGCGCACATTGGATATTAGAATTATATGTGGCATACTTTGGCGCGCCGGCAACCAGAAAAATTCCCCTTTTTCTCAATAGCAGAAAAAACAACCCAACCCCATAACCTAGATTAAGTTGTAATGTATAAAACTGAAATGGTCAAATTTTAAAAATGAAAAATGAACAAAAAACCTAAAGCAAACCCCATACCCGCAAAAAAAAAAAAAAAAAAAAAGAAAAGAAAAGAGAAAACATATAAAATGTTAAAAGAAGCATGAAGCACTAACCTAAATGAAGATATGGGAAAAAAAATCCAGCGCTAATCTGTTTCAAACATTTAGCAGCGCCAAAAAGAAGCGTACATATATGTATACATATGATTATATAGAAAGATCGAAGCACACACAAACACACACGCATATATAGAACCGAAAGTGTAATGAAATTCAAAATGAACAAAGGTCATTTTTGTAATAGTCGTAATCCTTGAACTTTAGAAATGTAATCTTGCATAGAAACAAAAAACAATTTCAAAAACCATTTGCAATATGTGCCGCAATAGTCCATAAATGTTCCTTATACGAATTAAATATTGAAAGTGAAAACAGAGTTTATTTTTTTTTTAAATATATATATATATATATATATATATATGTATAATTGTTGCATAATCTAACTTTCGACTTAATATGTTAAATTTTTACGTGTACGACTGTGTGTGTATAACTACTTGCGTTTTATCAGTTGTTTTGGCTAATTAAAAACGGCAAGCAAAAAAAAAAACAAACATAAAACATAATCGCTGTTTTGAGGATCAAGTCTAGCTAATTAATCAATCGATTTAATTACAGTAAATGCATTTTTAACAAACACTCAAACACACACAGAGATAGACACAGAGAAACGGATCGTTTACCATTTAAATAGCAAATCAAATATTTAACTAATAAATTACTATGTAAACATAATAACATATAATATATTCCTGCGTGTAAATTGAACTAAAAGATTAATTCATTTAGCAAAACGATTTTTGTTGAAAGCTAATACATAAGCCAATACACACACAACTAATTCAATTTTTAAAAAGCTAATTGGAAAATGATTAAGCTAAACAAAACAAAACAAAAATAAATATGAGATGTATTTAAGTAAGTATAAGGCATGGAACACGTGAGAAACGGATGAGTTTCGGCGTTTCAGATCAATTCAATGATAATGATGGCAATCAATTTCTCAATTTCCGCTAACAACCTGTTCCCAAAACTGATGGTATCAGCTTCTCCAGTATCAGTATCAATATCAAATCAAAACCTAAATATACATATATATATATATATTTATTCACACACGCAAGAAATGCCTTCATCCACAGATCACATTTAAATCCAACTTCCCAAAAAAAAAAAAAAAAAAAAGAAAGAATATTTATGCTGTACTTTGCTTCGACTCTTCAACCACCAATAACTGCATTAAACTCTAATCTAAAATATTTATACAGATATATATTATATAACGAGTTGAAATTGGAAAACAATTAGTTTTTAGTGATCTATGCACGTATCGTAACAATACCAAGATTAATTAAATCGTAGCTAAAAGAAACAAATCAAGGATGAGCCACAGTCTAGGAGGGAAACTTTAGCTTTTATAAAAAACAAAAACAAAAGAAAAACGGAAAACGGAAAACAACGTACTTAACTAATTGAGAAATATAAACACATATATATATACCGTTTTTTTTTTCAAATCCGCAACCATAACTATATAATTATTGAAAAGGTTAAGATATGAGCGAGGTTTAAGTTTCAATGTTTCTGTTTTCTATATGGTTAAATTGTTGATGCTGTTATGCTGCAAATGAATATTTAGTTAGTGCCGAGTGAAATGGGGAATCTCCTCAAATCAAATTTAATTACAATAGTCAAAAGTATGAAACAGAGGAGAACACCAATACCAAAAAAAAAAAACAAAGTAATGATTGTATACACTCAGAAAACCAATCGGCATAAATCTTAGAAAATCGCCGGATTTTTGGTGTCAAGGTGCCATTTATATTTGTGGAAAATATTTTTAACAACTACGGTATTTTTCTTCTTAAAGAATTCATTTAAAAAAAAAAATATATTGTTAGTCTAGAAGCAAATGTTAAAAATTGGTAATATTTCTGGAATAATTTTGAAATTTTGCATACGTTTAGTATATAAATCATATTAAAACTATCAAAATATTCATATATCAGTAATTCAAATTTAAATATTTTATTTATTTAATTATAATTTCTTAAAGAAAAACATAACAAAATTTTCCAAAAATAACTAAACAGTTTAGGCCATTAAACATAGGGCAATTGTCAGATGTTTGTCTGAAATAAATTAATTGTAAATTTTCAATTTTTAAGGCGATTTGTATTCCGAGTGTATCAAATGCCATGGTAAAGTATTATGCTAAGGAGTAATTCTACATTATTTATAACTAACAATATATTTGCTTAGCTCCCTTGAGTAATGAAAGTAACTACTGCATGAGGCATAGAACAAACTTCCCGGCACATAGTAAAACTAAATAAATTAATAGGCCGTCAAAGGGAGATGAGTAGATTTTGATAATACATCAAGACCATACCGACATACTTATGGAACTATTAAAAGACGCATTAAAAACGTTCAAGATAACGCATAATAATAATAACAATAATAATACCCAGACAAAAGCAGAATCAAAAAGAAAATGCGGGAACGATACGGCTGCATGGTATATATACATACATATATAAGACATTTCGCCTCTTAAAGCAATTATAAAGATAACAAATGAGTAACGTTTATTATATTATTAAATTATACATACATATACATACTATATAAACGGAATAAAATAAATCAGCAGCAAACTTTCCATTTGATGGCGGTCGATTTCTTGATTTATCTTTTTTTTAAATCGAAGAAAATCTTTTTTATAAACAATTTTTTTGTCGTACTAGCTCTAAAAGTTCTATTAAATTATTTTTATTTAACAGTTTCTGAATATATTGATAAATGAACATTTTGGGTCTTATTTGAAATAAAAACAATATATTTTTCGAAATTTGAAATCCTTGGGAATCCCCTTAAAAAGTTGCACCTGCGCAGATAAATCGATTTTTCATGTAGTGTTTAAAAAAACAACCAATTAAATAATTTTGAGAAATTCTTAACATATATTTGTTTTGAGATTATTTATTGCGTAACTATTTGTCTTGTTTCCCTTTTGCTTTTCTAAATCTTTAATTATTTAATTTATAAATTGAGAAATACATTTTAATTTCATTCGATAACCGGGAAGTGAAATACGGTATCCTAAATATCTAGTATTTAATTACAGTATTTTTTAGTTGTCTGGCACCATTGATAGTATCGAATAAATATCGATTTCTATACCACCACTAAGAAGTGAAGAGCGAGTTTGTGGACCGCCCAAAATAAGTAAATTATAAGTGTTAAAAGTCAATTAGGGCTAGCCGTTTGGCTATAATAAATTGGTAGTGCACAATAATAGTGGATAACACAAGCAACAACTAGCAGAGCGGCAAGAAAACGTAAGATATAGTGGTGCAGAGTCGGAAAACAAATGCTCCCGCCCGCGTGTTTGTCAATGTATAAGTGCGCGGCGGGTGTCCATGTGTGTGTGTGTGAGTGTAGGAAAGTGGAAAGTGTGTGATTAAGTGCAGTCGCTCTCTGGCGGCCCACAAAAAAAAGAATCATTCACCAGTAGTGTTTAATGAACGACTGAGCCAGAAAGCAGGAAACGCGATCGTTCAACTTCCAACCGCCAAACTGTATTTGTTGTTGTTTCTGTTTTGTTTTATCAAGGAGAGACGCCGCAACCAATAAGAAACAACACAAAAAAAAAAAAAACACCGAAACCAACACCCAGAAAGGCAACCAAGTCGCGTCATCAGTGGAAGTGGAAAGGCAGTGAGTGGCCGTAGCAGCAGCAGAAGCAGTGGTTTTCCAGCTCCAGTTTACAATCCTTAAAACATGGACAGCAAGGGTCGCAATGTTATCGTCTGTGATAACGGTACAGGGGTAAGTTTACGGGAAGACCCCCCGCACCACCCGCAAGCTAGCATTACACCTACACTGTTTGTGTGTGACACACATTTCCAGTTGTGGAGCCGCGTTGTTGTTGTTGTTGTTCTTGCTGCACTTCTTCTTATTCTTGTAGGTTAAGCAGAGCTTGAACACTGCTTGCCGGTCAACGGACGTTGACGTCGCGGTTAATCAAGCAGTTTGCGGCAATTGCAATTACGCACGTCCCTCTTTCTCTTCAATTTCCTTCGCATCTCTTCTTCTTTACGCTTAGCTTTAGTCATTGGAACAAGCGATCGGCGATTACTCAGAGGTTCCAGTCGCGTTACTCAGTATCTCCCACACATGCACACTGGCTTCCACACCTACGTATTACATACATATTTAACCAAAAAGAGCGGCACAAAAGCAACAAAAACAACATACAACACGGCTATTTCCAACATTTCAGTTCTTATCGGCAAGCCCGAGAATTTTTGTTTAGTGATTACGCCCCGATTTCGATAAGAATTCGATAAACCATAGCTGTTAAAGAGCAAAAATATGATACACTGAGGAAAAGTAAGGAGATAGCCTTAAAAACATATAATATAGCAGGTGTCTTTAAGATACAAATTTATATTTTTTAAATGTTAAGCTAAGAAAGTTTCATATGGCATAATTTTTAAATTTGAATATATTTCATTATCTTTGACTAGTGGCTAGCATTGGAATTACATTTTTTTTCTGTGTATTTTATATCTGAATTGCTTGCTTACTCAATTTTTGAGCTATTTGACATAAAATTTGATTTAAATAATATTTTTAAAATAATAAATCAATAGAGGCAGGGCTTCTTATGTAATTTTAATCATTAATCATGTATTCGATATCTGAAAAGAAAACTTACCATTTCTTTTACACTCTTGCAGTTCGTCAAGTGCGGATATGCCGGCAGCAATTTCCCCACCTTTATTTTCCCCTCGATGGTGGGACGACCCATGATCCGGGCAGTGAACAAAATCGGCGATATCGAAGTCAAGGTATGATCCATCGTACTTACCAATTTAACTAATTATTAATAATCAAACATAAGAAGATAGTACAACCATAAACACACACACATATCGAATTTTGCACAGGCCATCAAATACATTAATAAATATTATATCATTTTTTCGATGTAACTTATCCATGACTAGTTAAACGGCAAGAAAAAAAAACAAACAAACATTTAGCGCATAGAAGTTCACTATACACCCAAAAACCATCCACCATAATTTTCACCACCCCAAATCCATCTGAGTTTTGAGTCAAATTGCTCTATTTTCTATTCTGTCTATTAGTGTGGCATATCTACTTATTATCATTATTATTATTATTATTATCTATCTATATATCATTTTGTTATCGATTTCTACCCCTACATTCACATTTCATTTTTCATCTTGATTTTCATCACGGGGACTTTTCCCAACATTGCATATTTGCTTGAGTTGCATTGGTCTCGGTGTGTGGGTCTTTCATATAATATATCTATTATATAATATATACATATGCATACTATATATGTATTATGGTAAACGTTGGTCAGAGGATATCTTATCTTAGAAACCCCCAGGTTTAGGCCTAGCTCAAAGATTAATGGATATGGAGGCCGGACCACGAAGACATTAAGCTTTTTTAGTGCATCATATCTGATATTGATATTCTTGAAAAGAAAACACCACTTTATATTCACTTAGATCCTTATTAGCAGTTACTTTAGTCTTAGACAGAAAAAACAACAAACTTTCATTGAAAAAAACACACACAAATTTGATATATATATAGCAACAAACAATCGATATAAAAAATATATATATATATTTTAAAAATTGTAATCTTTCTTTTCTTTTTAATATTCTTATACATTTTTCTGTTCTTTTTTTTACATATTTTTTTGAAAACAAATATTTTGCAGGATTTACATGTCGATGTAAGTCAAGTTTGTATAGTTTAAAAAACCAAAAAACAAAAACCAAAAAAATCCAAACTACCACTAAGAAATCTAATCACCAAGCAACACAAAAATCGAATTTCATTCGGCAAAGTTTAAATAATAAAAATTTTTATACGTTTTACACACACACAAAAAATAAGAAAAAAAACACCAAACAACACACACGCTTGACAAAATATTACGAAATTTTCTTGAACAATTCTAGTTAAAGATACGCACTTAGGATTAACTAATTAACTGTTAACTGTTCACATTTTCACTAGTTGTTTTTGCCTTGAATATTTTCCCAACTATATTCCGGCCCTATTCCAACTATCTCTTGTTGCTTCCTTTTGGCCACCATCTATAATCGTACTCCATATACACATACACAAGCTCAACAAAAATCTATTGAATCTTAAATCGGAACAATCTGAGGCGTGTGTTGAAAAATGAATTCAAATGAAATCTTATTCAATTTAATGACAAACTTACGTAAATATAATTTTTGTTATTTAACTTTGTATTCCTTTTGTTTTTACCAAAAACGTTAGTTTTTTTTTTTTTTTTTTACCCAGCTTACCCTTTTGTTTTGTTGTACATACGTTAAGGCTACCTAATTCAGTTGTTTGTTGTTTATATTATTAATTATCTTTGATCGTTTTTTTTTTGACTGCATGATGTCTTGTGTTTCGTTGCTTAAGCCTAGTTTATTACCTCAGTTTGTTTTGCACGTCTGTGTGTTTTGTCTAAGTTTATGTTAACCCTAGAGGAAGGACTCTCTTCCTAGAGTTTCTTGCTTATGGTTGCCTCTTGTTAATCGTTGCTTGTTTAGCCTAGTTTAGTTATTGCTGTTATTGTGCCTTCCCCAACCACCTTGTGAATGTCCAGACTAACGCTTACCATCCCAGTCACTAAATAAAGCCCGCCTGTAACCAAGCCCAATCCAATCCAATCCCAATCCAAATCCCATTGTTTACCCATTGACCAATTCACGGAGACTAATGCTACGTAATCTGACGAACGAATTTACAGGATCTGATGGTCGGTGATGAGGCATCACAGCTGAGATCCCTTCTAGAAGTCTCCTATCCCATGGAGAACGGTGTGGTGCGTAACTGGGATGACATGTGCCACGTGTGGGACTACACGTTTGGGCCCAAAAAGATGGACATCGATCCAACGAACACAAAAATCCTGCTAACAGAGCCGCCAATGAACCCCACAAAGAACCGCGAGAAAATGATCGAGGTGAGTAGAATATATATATAGTAACCCGATCGAACTTGACATAAAATCTTATTGTTTTACAGGTGATGTTCGAGAAATACGGCTTTGATTCCACATATATTGCCATTCAGGCTGTGTTAACGCTTTATGCCCAGGGTCTGATCTCGGGCGTTGTGATCGATTCGGGTGATGGTGTAACTCATATATGTCCCGTCTACGAGGAGTTTGCCTTGCCTCATCTGACGCGTCGATTGGACATTGCCGGTCGGGATATCACTCGTTATTTGATTAAGGTATTTCCTCGTAAATTTTCTAAATTTTTCTAAATTACATGCTAATATTTTTGTTTTACTTAATCAATAGTTACTGTTATTGCGTGGCTACGCTTTCAATCATTCCGCTGACTTCGAAACGGTGCGTATTATGAAGGAGAAGCTCTGCTACATTGGCTATGACATCGAGATGGAGCAACGATTGGCCCTCGAGACGACAGTGTTGGTGGAGTCCTATACGCTACCCGATGGTCGGGTAATTAAGGTTGGTGGCGAGCGATTTGAGGCGCCCGAGGCCCTTTTCCAGCCCCATTTAATAAACGTTGAGGGTCCCGGTATTGCGGAATTGGCCTTCAACACTATCCAAGCGGCAGACATTGATATCCGGCCCGAACTCTACAAGCACATAGTGTTATCCGGTGGTTCTACCATGTATCCAGGTCTTCCCAGTCGACTAGAGCGAGAGATCAAACAGCTGTACTTGGAACGAGTACTCAAAAACGATACGGAAAAGCTGGCGGTAGGTCGATAATTAAATATATTTTTGTTTCTTACCAATATTTGGTTAATTTTCTTGACAACCCTTTTAACAAATTTTATTATAATTTTTTTAGAAATTCAAAATACGTATTGAGGATCCACCGCGGCGCAAAGACATGGTCTTCATCGGCGGTGCTGTGCTGGCGGAGGTAACCAAGGATCGCGACGGTTTCTGGATGTCCAAGCAGGAGTACCAGGAACAGGGCCTCAAAGTGTTGCAAAAGCTGCAAAAGATCAGTCACTAAAGGCGGTGGATAGTGGTGAGATAGTGTGTGAAGACCCTTTGAAAAACGATGAACAAGTGTACAAATTTCTTTTGGCTAGTTCGTATAAGTTGAAAAATTTTCGTTTCGCGTGATTTATCTGTCTTAATGTGTGTGTACTTTTTTTTTTTTTGTTTTTATGTGTGCCTGCTCTAGAGTGGGCGGCGCGTGTCTGTTGAGCAGGATCGGTCCATTAACTAACTTGTCTTAGCTTACCATACATCGCAGACATACTCAATTTCCGTACAATGAATTGTAATTAATTTCTTTCGCCGCAAGCTGAGCGTTAAATAAGTGTAACCCGATTAGTAGGGGAAAATTGTGTAAACCCGGATTAGTATATTTAATTGATTATTATGATTATCATCTTGATTTCGATGAATAATATATATATATATACATTTTCTGCACCACTAGAGTGCATATTGATATTTTTGTAAACGCAAAATGTTTCATTTCAAGCGAGTATTTCACATTTAAGTATTAACTAGGCCAAGTCTGCTAGTAGCAGCGATTATAAATCGTGTGTATGTGTGTGGATGAGACAGAGAAAAAAAGAAAGAAATATTAGGGCGAGGGAGTTGCACAGGACAGAATGAGATAGAGAGATAGAGAGAGAGCGAGAGGGCTAAAGTTGAAAGTTATCCTGCTTTTTCGTTAACTAAAGTAAACTGATTGAACCGACGACACCCAGCCTTAATCTAAGCATTTCTGGGTTATCTCCAAATAGACAAAGATAAACCAAGTCAGTCACAAGTTTATGCATTTATTTTTTCTTTGCCCAATAATCGAAAGAAAAACAAAAAAACACGAAATATAATCAAAGTCCGAAAGTGTTTAATTTGTGTTAATTTTCCTTTACACCTGCCTTTTCTAGTTAGTTGCAATTTTGATGATTGTTGGGGCAAAGCGAACGCTATAAATGCGAAACTAACTATCGGCATATATATTATATATATATATATATATATATATTTATGTATATCTGATCAAAATATATGTATATATATATTTATATTTATAATGAATGTGGAATGCCAATTATATAAGTAAATGCAATAAACATAATTATGTATGAAGTATACTGTAGTCTAAAGCTGAAACGTAAATGACTTGGGTTTTTTTTACCAACTAAAAACAAAACAAGAATCACAATAAAAACAAAAAAACAAAAAAAAAACAAATCCAATCTGCGCTGTTTTATGGCCGGTCCGCTTCCAATTTTCCACAGCAAATAAAACAATTTATGGCCATTGCCTTAAAAATGGTATTCTAACAATGGGAATGTTGTCATTCGCCTGCTTTTGTGGTCGTAATCAGTAGCCCAACAATACTCGATACTCAATATAAATTCGTCTAAATAAAGTGCAATATAATGCAATATAAAGTGAAAACAACAAACAAAGAAAATTTAGAATATAAAACTCTTAAAGCTAAACGGAGCGGATCTAAATGTTTGAAGGTTTTCATTTTGGTAATAAACCATTTTCAAGAAAACTCCCAACTAAGCTTCTATTTAACTTTAAAATTATTAAGTATTATTTTTTATATTGATGTTAAGTTTCTATAATTTATTAAGTAGCTCAAAATATTATGTATCTTATCATATTTTTTGAATATTTTTTGTACTAAATTTTAAATTTGATCTTTTTTTCTGTCTCTTCTTTCCGTTTTTCAAAATTTAACTTGTAATCTACTTTCAGAGTTTCTATACATTTTTCTTTATTGTTGTTTCTTTCTTCATTTTCTTAAATTTATTTTCAGAATTATATCAAATCTTTTCTTTTATACTTTTCAAATTTCAATTTTTCTATAATTTAGTTCTTTTTTTTTCTGTCTACTATTAATCACTCTTTTGGCTTTCTTATAGATAAGTTATGATAAGTTGCAGTTAGAGTCAAGTCAAAAAATGTAGTTCGCGACTTTTTCACTTAAAAAACTCACTGATTTACGGGCCCAATATTATTCATACCCATTGACCCACCTCCGGTCCGGCACCTGTGAAGTGGAGTGATAAGACCAATCCGGTCCGTCTACTCAATGGCCAGATAAGGGTCTCATTGTGATCGATACATTTCCCAACTTGGCTGGAGTGCTCTCGCCAGTTAGAATAACGACGCAGCATGGGCTATACGACAAATCGCAGACTGCAGTTGGGTCTACTTTTGATCCTGGGACTCCAAGGAGTTATTGCTGAATATGGTGATCTGGCTGGCAATTGGTCAGTGGATTTTGGTCAGCAGAAGCTACAAATGGTGGAGGGTGAAAGTCAGCAAGTGGAATTGCATATATACAATGTAATACCCAAGGATTCGTCGTTGAATTACTATTTTATGGTGTACTCTAAGGATGATCAGTTATCAGATCAGAAGGTTTTCATATGGAAAGAAGAGTTCGATATATTGGGAAGCTGGAAGGGATTGATTGATGTCACGGCTGTACGATTTGGATACAGTACCCTGGAAGTGGAACTGCATTCGAATGGAGAGATTGAGATTTACGGCAATCCTCTGAAAATTGTAGTCTTAAGATCGCGAGTTGTGGACGAACGTGTTACTACCTATGTGTCCGCCGCCTTGGCTTTGCTGATGTTCCTGAATCTGGGAACAGTGCTGGATATGAAGCGACTGGCGGGGATTATCTGTCGACCTGTTGGCCCCGTGGTGGGTGTGGTCAGTCGATTTGTGTTAATGCCCGCCTTGGGTTTTGGATTGGGTCGCTGTCTTTGGCCGGATCAATGGCCATTGCAATTGGCCCTGTTCTACACAGCCTTGGCGCCCAGTGGTGGACTGGCCAATGTGTGCGCCGTTTTCCTTAAGGGAAACATTAATCTTTCCGTGGCCACCACAACGATCAATAGTCTGTTGGCTTTGGCCTTTTTGCCCATTTGGATCATGGTCTTGGGCAGGCTACTCTACGAAGACGATGAGCTGACGGTGCCATTTGGGCAGATATCTGGCGGAGCTGCTGCCTTGGTGGCCTGTTTGGCCATTGGTGTCATGTTGCGACTTTGCGTCCCAAAGACCACGCGGTTCATCTTCCGTTTCCTGAAGCCACTGTCCGTGGTACTCAGCTTGTGCCTGGTGGGGTTGACCGTGGGTCTCAATTGGTTTGTCTTTCTCGAGTTTACCTGGCAGGTGAGTACTAAAAATATTAGATTTGCATAAGCAAATCCCACGTAAGTAAAATAAAAATGTAGTATTCAAGTTTTTGCATTAAATTTCCAAAAACTAATGAGTTTGTGCCTTGTAGGTTTTGGTGGCAGCTGTTTGCCTGCCCCTCGCCGGTTATCTCGTCACTTACCTGCTGTCGAAGCTCCTCTGTCGATCGGCCACCGACTCCTTGACCCTGGCCATCGAAGCTAGTGTTTTGAACATGACTATGCCTATTGTTCTGCTGCAGTCTAGTCAGCTAGAACAACCGCAATTGGATCTTGTTCTGGTGGTGCCCATTGCATCTTCGTTAATGTCACTAGTTCTGGTGATTATATTCTATGGGATACGGCGTTGCCTTGGCTGGAATAAGCGGCAAGATGCGGATGGTTTTGATCATAAGGAGCTGATAGCGGAGCACGAGAGTGATGTCTACCAACGGCCTTAAGTCAAGGTTAGAAGTAGAACTTGAGGTAGTAGTTGGAGTAGCAGTAGCAGTAGTAGTAGCAGTAGTAGTAGTAGTTAGTCTTAATTTAAAAATTGTAATTTCATATAATTGTAAGCTTGTATAAGCTTCCCATATAACTTTAAACGTTAGTTCGATAATTCGATAATTTGAAAACGCGCCAAAGGGGATTTCTGCTTTGGCATGATTGGCATCACTGTTCTCATTTCACTTGGTAGCATTGGCTTTAGTTTAGCGCGGGTAAATCAAACTCAAACGTTTCTAATAGGGGCATGTTTGTTTGTCCGTTTTACATGCAAATTTGGGTTTTAAGTCAGCGCAGGGCAATAAAATAAAATTGTGTGCCAACGTCGTTCTGTTGGTCATTGCGTATGTACTAGGAATTTGGAGCATTGGCCGCTGGACAAACAAGCTCGACACTGGGGAACGCAGGAAGGTGGCGCATGATGTCATCAGTTTAGTTCGTTGCGATGCAGGCAGGACTGCCAATTACGACACACGAACATGGCATACAGTACATATAGTACATATAGTACCTATATATATATATTATATATACTATATGTATATATATATGTAAACACGAGTTTGTGTAGGGAAGAAGATATAAAAATAAGTGCTACCTTTGCCAGCCTGCTGTATAGCTGGTGCTGGTGTGCGTGGTCAACTAACGGTTCACGCGCGGAACGCATTACCGAGCCCCATCATACACCTCCTGAACCTGCTGAACCATCAACCTAACCACCGATCCCTCCCCCACCAGCCGACCTCGTTAGCCAGCCCTGACAATGTCTTTTCGGTTATAAATACCTTTTTCAAAGTTGGTAAATGACATAACGTGTACACCGTACTTTAACAGGAAGCTAACTAACTATCTTTAACTGGAACATAAATTATATTTTGTACTTCATTAGCAAACCATATAATTTTGAGGGGTTTATTAATATTATTATGGCTTGCCTGATGAAAGAACAATGTCGTTAGCATTAGGGGAAAGCTTTTGTTGGTTACTTTCCTTAGCAATTTCTTCACTATTTAAGCCTTTAAATTTCCATTTATCAAACATTACAAGGCATGTTGCTACTTTTCAAAAACCGTTTTTCGTTTCAACTCCCTTTAGCTATTTGGCCATTGATTGAATTTCATTGCTTGTTTGCTGACTTTGATTACGGCTCCAAAAAATGCAAACCACTAACCATACCGTACATGTACACCCTTTCCTTTGGCCAAAACTCGATTGCCTCTCTCTGGAGGGCCATTGAAAAAGTGACGGTGTATGGTTTTTAAGCCACACATTTAGCAGCGATTTAGTGACATTCGAGATTTCATTAGCCTCCGTATGGGATATGTGGATGGTGGAGAGGAGAGTAAAGGATGGGATTGGGTTGCTACCTATCCCAATCCCATTTCCAATCCCAATCCCTATCCATATCCTGGTGCAGCATAATATGCGATTCCATTGACCGTTCTGGCCTGCTGCTGCGCATTGCAGTTAACCCCGAAACGAACAATGCAGCAAGTACACTGCGAATAGTTTGTTTTATAATGGTTAGTTGGTTTTTTTTTCTTCTTTTTCGCTTATTAGTATTCCAGAAAATGTTGTAATCCTGCGAGGAATCCTTTTTGTTTCGTGTTAAGATCTCCTAAAGTTTTCAGTGTTTATAACTTAGAATACCCATAATTCTTCTCAGTGAACACATAGTGTTCCATTTGTGTGCCTTGCCAAGACACAACTTTGAAAAGGAGTTGCAGCAGTTTTTCGATGAGGCAATTTCATTCTCAGCTGGGCTTTTGCCCCATTGCCAGTACAACTGCACTTGAGTGAAATGTGCGGAATGGAATGGGTGATGGTTGGGGCATGACTGAGGCATGTGGTGGCTAGTGAAAAATGGGGTTGGGTGGGTGTTGGTGTAAATGGGTAAACTGCTGAAAGGGGCGGACAAAGGGTAAATAGTGGCATCAGGCGTTGGCAGTGGGGCCACAAGTCAAAGCAAAGCATTTGGTTTCGTTTCGTTTCGTGACATTTGGATGATTTCTGCCTATTTCCTGGCCAAAAACACACACACACACAGCCAATCCTCACCACCCTCCCCCCGTGCTTCCTTCTGCTTCCTTGCATTTCTTAACCCTCTGGCCGACTTTAATCGCGTGCTTGGCGCACATTTTAACGCTAGTCGTTTTCAGTTGACGGTTGCCACAGCAACACAACACGAACTGCAAATGCAATGCAAAAGAGCAGTGGGGCACAAAATTTCAGTGGGTGGGTGATGGTGGGTTGTGAAAGTGATGGCTTCGGCTGGGTGGTTGGATGTTTGCCTGCCAGGTGACAGGTGGCCAGTGGAGTGTGGGGGGTTGTGCTCGTTGCTTGGTGCTTGGCATCTAACCTATTTGGTAACCGAGGAAGGTGCGTTGGCAAATCGCTTCTCGCTGCTCTTCATTTCCTGTCTCCATTTCAAGGCACAAACAACAGCAACAGCAAGAAAAAGCGTGGAAAATCTGCCAGGAAATTCACTTGCAACTCAGATATAGGGGGAAAAAATACATAAAAAATTGCCAAAAAAAGGAGAGCAAAAAATTCAAGTCAATTATCCCCAGCACGTGTACTTAAATATTATGCGTAATTATGGCGCTCGAGATGGCGATGGCATAATTAGCCCTGTTACTTGTGTTTTCGCTTATTATAAGGAAATGTTGTTGTTGTTGTTGTTGTTGTTTTCGAATACAGTCCTCGATGTGCCAACGCATATTGAGCCGGAAAAACCATAGAATCAAAGCATAAAATACCCCTTAAATTGTCAGAAAGTTCTTGAAAATTATTACCAAAAAAAAAGAACTCTTGTTTTTGGGAAGAAAATCAAAGATTTTCTGGCTTTATTATGAAATTTAAAAATCTGCTTTGTTTGTCTTTGAAAATCTTGCAATCTGTGACCCAAAACAGGGTATAACCCATGTTGACAAATAATAATTTGTTGAGAAAAGGCAGGACGCTAAACATGTGCGCGTCTCATGAGCCAACATTTATGCAAATTCGCTTCGTCCTTTAGTTACCCTGCCGTTCCTGCCTTGTCCTTCTTGGCATCTAAACACCCCAACCATCGTATACCAACTAACCTCCAGCCAAGTGGCAAGTGCAAAGGAAACGCACAGTTGAATAATGTAAGGTTATGCTAATGTGCAGGACTCGTGGCTGGTTTGAGTACGGGTGTGGTACGCACAGGTGTACATTACACATTCGTTGCATTTGCTTTGGCATTTATGGGGGTCGCCTGTCCACCGACATCACACCATACTCATCCTACTCATCCACATTCTTAATAATAACCCACCGCCCCGCCCATCCCCTCATGGAAATGGAAAGTGCAAGTGGAAAGTGTTTGCCATAACCGAAAGCGATTAAATTAAATATTCAATTTCCTTTTGCCCAGCCGGATACATTTGAGATCGACCAGCAGACCAAAAGACTGTTTCACATTCATAAAGAGCTTTACAAATCCAATTTCATAAATTGTTATATTTTTTAATAATTTAATAATACTAATGATAGTGTAATTTGTGGTTACAAATTTGAGAAGACTTTCACTACGAATTAAGGTAATAAAACTGAATTATCATTTAAGTAGCTAAAAAAAGTTCATAAAAATCATACAGCCAAAGCAGCTTAACATCAAAAATTAATAGAAACTGTGTTTTTAACTAACTAACTATCAAAATCGAAAACAAAATATTAAACATTTTGCTAAGAAGAAAGTTTATTTCCCCACTAAGCCTAAGTTTGCGTAGATTTCATTCATTTTCTAGCAGAAACTTTCTTAAAAAAGATCTATCTAAAAAATTGATAAATTCACAAATAATTCTTATTAAAAAGAAAACGCTAATAATTATTGCAATTATCTTACAAAATATAGTTTTCTTTTTTTTGAAACTTTAAAAACCTTTTCCGATTTTCTGCTTATAAAGTAGCCTTCTAGCCTGGCGGCACATACATGCACACAACCTGTGTATATGAATGTGTGTTAACAAAGGTTTAGAAAATTTAGTTGCACTTGACAAGATGATGGACGACAGATACCGCTGCAATGCCACTCCCACTTTCACTTCTCCTTTATTTCCATTCGACATTATATGTTATAAAGTATATCGTATATATGGTATATGAGATATAGGATGGTATATGATGGTGGTTCCTGTGGGAAACCCGTTCATGGGCTAAAGGTATCTGGCTGGTAGATGGAGAGCGGTCTTGTGTCGTTGATGGCTGAGTAGGAGTTGGGTTGGGAAACGTAAACGTTGCCGCTGTCAAAATGTCGTCATTGTTCATTCATGAAATGTGCGCCTTTTTACATTTTACCCAACATCAGTAGCAGCAGTAGCAGAAGGTACGGCGATACGGCAGCAACAACAGTAAGAAAAACCAATACTAATACAAAATATCAGCAACTTCATAAAGTTCTGCAAATTGTGTTGCATACCTCAAGGAGTTAGTGTGTGCTTTTCAAAGGGAAATCTTTAAAAGTGGTTATTATTAGGTAGATATTTCTGGAAAACTATATTTTATGTTTATAAGAAGATGTTTGTTATGGAATTTTAAAGTTTGATAAAGATTTTAAGAACAAAACAGTTAAATTTTTAGATTTCTTATGGCTTGATTTATAATTTTAGCTAATTTTCTACCTTAGTCAGTTCTATTATTTATAATTACCATATAATTTTTTGGTAGAACATTTTTTTTGCGAGTGCTGCAACAACCGCAATGGCCGCAAAATGAAATGGGGGGAAAAAACGCGAAAGAAAAGGGAATTCAAACAAGAGAGATATAGAGCGAGAGAGAGAGAGAGAGGCGAAGAGAAGGCGGCGAAAGGAGCGTGTGCGTGTGAGTGTGTGTGTCTGCGAGGACATGCGACTGTATGGCACACACACTGCGCCACACTCGCTGACATCATCCGCAACCACTCATGGGGCAGGATAATGGAGAAAAGGAGCAGTGGGTA